ATTGATTTTCCTTATATGTGTATAGCAAAAACTTAAAATCTTCTTTGAAAAAACCCAAATAGCTAGAGTTTAGATATTAAGCATGAAACATATTCTAGTAAGTGTCTACAAAGTTTGTTCAAATAAAACCCTGGGGTCATAACTAGCCCGGCCCCAGGGGTGTCATTGTTTTTAACTATATGTGTATAGTAAAAACTTTAAAAAAATCTTCTTTTAAATAGCCCAATGAGCTAGAGCTTAGATGTTTAGCATGAAACATCTTCTTATGGGTGTCTACCAAGTTTTGTGCAAATAAAAGCCCTTTGGTTAAATTGGCCCTGCAACGTTTGGGGGGGGGGGTTGGGGGGGCCTATATATAGGTGAGCGACCTCAGGGCCATCATGGCCCTCTTGTTTATGTTATTTGAAGTAAATGATACTGAATATGTTTTTAAAACAAGTTATATAAGGCTATATTATTTCTTCACAAGTATTCAGAAATTTACAATGAAAATAATGAAAATTGGAACATTTCTTATAGATTATTTTTTTTATTTATTCAACATTTTTAAAATATATCATTTTAAACTTCTTTGCCCACTTGTCTTACAGTAATCAAGTGGCGACGCACTTTTGTCACTATACCACAAGTAGGTGGGGTAACACGCGCAGAATCATCATCAATGCTGTCTTACTCATGTTAGGAGAAATCCTTAATCTGATGTTGTTTAAACGAGCTCTTATTCTTTTGAACCAATCTCCTTCTGAACATTTAGAAATATCTATTCTGTATTATTTACTCATTATTTGCGTATAGCCGAAATTTAAACAGTTATCCGAGTACTATTCACTTTCACCTTCTTTTTGAAGAGTAATTATCCGTGATTATTTTTTTTGGAATCGCATAATGATGCGCACTAAAAACTACCAAAAATGTCTTTAAGTCATAGCCCCTGTGACCTTTGATCTGGTGATCTCAAAATCTAAAGGGGTCATCTACTAATTTTGACCAATCTCAATACCAAATAAGAAGACTGTGGGTCAAAGGAATTTATTTTTTTCTTTTAATAATACTTCTATAAAATTTATCGTTTCATGCCAAAATACATTTGAAAAATGAAAAGAAAGTTGTCAATTTTGTGTTAAATTTGACATTCAGTTTAGTCACATTTTTGTGATCGCTTTTCGTTCGGCGTCCGTCCGTAAACTTTTACTTTAAATGACATCTCCTCATAAATCACTAAGCCAATGTCATCCAAACTTCACAGGAATGTTCCTTTGGTCACCTTTAAAAATTGTTTAAAGAATTTGTTTCCATCCAGAACTCTGGTTGCCATGGCAACCAAAAGAAAAAACTTTAAATATCTTCTTTTAAAAAACCCAAAGAGCTAGAGCTTAGATATTTGGCATGAAACATCTTCTAGTGAGTGTCTACCAAGTTTGTTCAAATAAAAGCCCTGGCGTCAAAATTGACCCCGCTCCAGGGGATCATTGATTTTCCCTATATGCACATAGTAAAAACTTAAAAAATCTTCTTTTAAAGAACCAAAAGAGCTAGAGCTAAGATATTTGGCATGAAACATCTTCTAATGGGTGTGTACCAAGTTTGTTTAAATAAAAGCCCTGGGGTCAAAATTGGCCCCTCACCAGGGGGTCATTGATTTTCCCTATATGCATATAGTAAAAACTTAAAAAATCTTCTTTTACAGAACTCAAAGAGCTAGAGCTAAGATATTTAGCATGAAACATGTTCTAATGGGTGTCTACCAAGTTTGTTCAAATAAAAGCCCTGAGGTCCCCGGGGATCATTGATTTTCCTTCTATATGTGTATAGCAAAAACTTAAAAAGTATTCTTTGAAAAAACCCAAATAGCTAGAGTTTAGATATTGAGCATGAAACATGTTCTAGTAAGTGTCTACAAAGTTTTTTCAAATAAAAGCCCTGGGGTCAAAACTGGCCCCGCCCCAGGGGTGTCATTGTTTTTAACTATATGTGTATAGTAAAAACTTAAAAAATCTTCTTTTAAAAAATCCAATGAGCTACAGCTTAGATGTTTAGCATGAAACATCTTCTTAAGGGTGTCTACCAAGTTTGTTCAAATAAAAGGCCTCGGGTTAAAATTGGCCCTGCAGGGGGTGGGGGAGGGCAGATCATTGTTTTTCATTATAAGTGTGTAGTAAAGTCTTAACATCATGTAAAACATCTTCTTATGGGTGTCTTCCAAGTTTGTTCAAATAAAAGCCCTGGGGTTCAAACTGGCCCCGCTCCGGGGGCCTATATACAGGTGAGCGACCTCAGGGCCATCGCCCTCTTGTTTAGCTCAACTTTTTTTTTTTTTTTTTTTTTTTTGAAAAAAAAAAAGTAGAGGTATTGCTATAGTCGCGGCGGCGTTGTGTGTTGCCGTCCGCAAACTTGTATCCCAGGATCATAACTTTTTTATTTCTCCGTGTATTGTCTTCATACTTGGCCACAACAACCCTTGGGACAAGACCTTTCAGTAGACCACACTAACCTTGACCTTCATCCATAAATGAACTTGACCTTCAAGGTTAAAAGTCAAAATTTTGCTTGTTCATGCTGTTATTGGCTGTAACTTTGTTAATTTTGAATGGATTGTCTTTAAACTTGAACATAATAATCTTCAAGGATATCCCTTAAAAATAACCAAACAGACCTTGACCTTCACTCATTAATGACCTTGACTTTGAAGTTTAAATTATTGAAATTTTCATTGTTTTGGCTGTAACTGGCTGTAACTTGGTCTTATTGAAGGGATCAACTTCATATTATAACAGAACATACTTAAGGACAAGACCTTGTTGTTTATCCTGACTTCACCTCGTGACACCACCATGTGACATCACCATGTTACTTCACCACATGACTCCGCCACGTGACTCCACCACATGACTCCACCACGTGACTCCACCGAGTGACTTCACCACATGACTCAACCACATTACTCCACCATGTGACACCACGTGTCTCCACCACGTGACTCCACAACGTGACTCCACCACATGACACAACCACATGACTCCACCACGTGGTGGTGTCACGTGACTCCACCACGTGACACCACAATGTGACACCACCACATGACTCCACCATGTGACACTACCACATGACACTACCTCGTGACTCCACCACGTGACTACAACGTGAATCCACCACATGACTTTACCACGTGACACCACCACATGACTCCACCACGTAACTCAACCTCATGACTTTACCACATGACTTCACCACGTGTCCTTACCATGTGACTAAACGAAGTGACTTTACCACGTGACTCCACCATGTGACTTTACTATGTGACTTAACCACATGACTTCACCACTTGACTTTACCAAGTAACTCCACCATGTGACTTCACCACGTGACACCACAACGTGTCAACCATGTGTGACTCCTCCACGTGTATCTATTTATAGAATTGTTTATTTATAGAATTGCTTGTTTATAGAATTGCATGTTTCTATTTATAGAAATTTCTATTTATAGAATTGCGTGTTTCTATTTATATATATAATTTAGTATATGTATATATACAAAATATATAGACAAAACTGATGTGAAAAGACAGACCGATTAATTTTATAAAAAGGAAACGTTAAGATTTTGTTAAAACATTTGTTTGTTTGCTTTTAGAGAAAGTAAAAAGTCGAGCGTTGCCCCCGCCTGGCGGTGGCTCTTGTTTAGGTTTGTTTGTAAAGCCGCTTGTTAAAAAAATCCTAAAATAAGTTGTTTTTTTGTCTTTAATATTCATCTATATATAATATATATATGTATATGTAAACAAATTGTCAAATGTTCTACATTGTGCACCTGGGGGCACTTGATGATGAAACTCCTGTGAAAAAAAAATCTTTGAAAATCTTGCTTAGTGGTATTGTGTCATTTCTTGTTATGTGAGCATGTTAGTTTATTGTTTGAGAAAAAAAATGAAATAGTCAACAGTTAAGGGTAGAGCTTTGATTAATCTTGTTTGTACAATAATACAAAAAGCATTTAAGAAAGAAAGTAAGTCAGTAAGGAGGATATAATGAGAATCACTTGAACACAAGCATGTGAAAACTTTACCGTATAAGTACTTATTTCTGCGGGCTTAATATTCTGCGATTTTTGTTAAAATAAGGGGTTTTCTGCGGTGTCATCATTCTCCCCTTGATGCTTTTTAATTCTACATTTTAATTAAGATACTTCTTTTCAAAATTAACCTACACAAACAGACAACATTTTAAGATTAATGTTGATATAACATTACTTCCGGTTAACATGCAGACGACTGATTATGTGTTTCGTCGTAATTATCATGTATCGGTATATACATGTTAATAAACGTGCAATGATAACAATTTTAATACTGTATGTGTATAAATATGAAGTGTGAATAATTAACAATGCCAAAATCGAACGTTGACACACAAATACAAAAGGGTATGTTTATTTCACCCGTCAAACTAAAATAGTTCGATTTTACAAAAAAAATCAAGCTAAGAGTGAGCGAAAATCATACAAACATAATACTTATTTAAGCAAAGAGAACAAGCAAAGTAACATTTTTTTCTAATATTTTATTCACGACAGATACATAAGAAAAATTCCCTTCTACAAAAGCTGATAACGGTATATGGTATTGTAATTATACAATACCAGTAGTTGACATATTCCGACATAGACATACAGAGCTTAATTTTCAGCGGTTTTTAAATCTGCAGTGTCGATATGAGCCGCAGAAATAGCAGAAATAAAGTTCCCGCAGAAAATAGTACTTATACAGTATTTTACATTTATTTATTTTGAGTTTGACTCGGTAATCTATTGCTACCTAGTTTGTTTTTATGTGAATATCAGGTGAGTGATAATGACTCACTTGTTTCATCAATCTATCTAATAAGTATGCTCATTGAGAACATTTACTTTTGAACAAATATATTCTTAGTATAAGTAGATAAATATTCTAAGTATGAATTTCTGTCAACATAATTATTTACTTTTGATATCAATTTTCCAAGGTAAAGGCAAAGCTGATCCAGTTTACTACGGAGAGAGATTCTTTGAAGCACTTTGTGAGTTTTCCTCTTACCATAAAGAGTATGATTTAAAAGTTCACTTGGTTCACTATGACAAAAAGAGCACAGAGAAGGCTATAGAAACAATTAGCAAAGCTTGTCGAGATATACGTCCATTGCAAGTTATTACAAATCATAGAAAACGAAATACTGGTAATACAAGATTTGAAAATGGAGCTAGACCTAAGTCTGCAGGTCCAAATGTCTTTGAAAAGCGCGGTCATATTACCAGCTCAGAAAAACATAAACAAAACGAAAGACATTCAAGTTACATGACACCATCTCAAATTATGAATCAGTCAGAAAATGAGAACCTACAAGATAAGGAAAGGGTTGAGGAATTAAACTATGGTAGTTCCACCACTAGAAAGTTTAAAGGCGGGCAAAGTGAATATGATAGAGATTTGGATGGTGTTGTTGAAAAACCTAAAGCTAATACAGATGATATTGATGAAAGAGAAAGCAATGACAGTTCTATTAAAATAGATGAGGAGAGAGAAAATGGGCCTTATGAGAGCTCATGTTCAGAAACTATTCCTGATTCTGCAGTTGAGAGTTTAGCGGTCCACAGTAATTTATCAAAGGAAAAAAAGGGAAATCTTAAAATTTTTGAGGTTTGTATCGAAATGGATTTAAAAGGATATACCTTTAGAATCATGTCAGATTTCTAAAATATTTTGAAATACAAGAATATGTTTTGCAAGAAAGATGTGTAAAGTTCTGAGAGATAATAGGTATAATAAAAAATTATTAACAAATTTGAAGTAAATTCAACAAAAATTCTTTGACATTTGGTTATTAATCTTTTATTTATTGACTATTTATTGATAACTAAATTAACAAGTACAAAGGTAACAAATGAAAGCCTTTACTGTTTTAATATATCAGAATATATATTTTGCTTGTAAACCATTATTTAGATTACGTCCACAAAAACATACTTTCATACAAAAAGATGTCAAAACATATATTTTATACCTGCTTAAATGTATTATTATTCATTTATACAACCGTTGTCTTTTTTAGCTCACCTGAGCTAGCTCGGGGTGCGCTTTTAGGATCATTAAATGTCCGTTAACCGTTCACACTTGTTCGTTAATACTCTAGTGGTCACAAATTTGCCTCAATCATTACCAAACTTTGTCAGGATGCTTCCCTAGGTGAAGCTTCGGACAAAATCCCCTTCGCATACCCGGACAAAATCCCCTTCATGGGTGGACATAATCCCCTTCGTGTTTTTGCAAGGCTGGACAAAATCCCCTTCACTACCCGGACAAAATCCCCTTGTTTCATAGGTTTCTTATGTATTATTATGCTCCATAAAAATTTATGAATAATGTATCATTATACTCCCTAAAAATTGATGAATAATGAACTTTTGTTTTTTTATTTATAATTATGTATCAATAGTTAACCTTTATTTAGTTTAGAAGTTTAAATTATCAACTGCATAACACATATTTGATTAGGCAATTTCTTTAATTGTTTTAAATTAATAAGTATGAAAAACATTTTTATTAGCCATAATTGTTTCATTGATTGTATAAGTTGATACTTCTAATTGATACATATTATCCATTGTTAAAATTTCTATTGATGAAAGAGTGATAATTTAATCAAACCAAGATCACTGCACAACTTGATTGTTATGAATTAATGCTTTAACAAAGCAATTTTAATGTGATTAAAATGTGCTAATTGAATGTGCTTTTCTGCTGAAATATTTTCTTTTTATTTATACATTAAGATATTTACCACACAGCATAATGCAGTATGTCGCTCTCATACCCACTTTATAAACCGAAAATTCATCTGAGGGGGATTTTGTCCTAGGTAGCAATTTTATGAAGGGGATTTTGTCCACTTCAAAATTTCACACATGAAGGGGATTATGTCCACCCATGGAGGGGATTATGTCCAGATATACAAAAATACATGAAGGGGATTTTGTTCGAAGGGGATTATGTCCGTACACCGTTTGAACATGGGTAATCTCGAATGAAAAACTAGGTCACAGGAGCTAAAAATAGAAAAACCTTGTTAACACTCTAGTGGTCACATTTTTGACTCAATTATCATCAAACTTGGTCAGGATGCTTGTCTAGGTAATTGCTTGAATGAGTTCGAACATTGGTCATCTTGGATGAAAAACTAGGTGACATGAGCTAAAAATAGCAAAACCTTATTTACACTCTAGTGGTCACATAGTAGACAAAATTATCATCAAACTTAGTCAGGATGCTTGTCTAGGTAATTGCTTGAATTAGCTCGAACATGGGTCATCTCGGATGAAAAACTAGGTCACAGGAGCTAAAAATAGAAAAACCTTGTTAACACTTTAGTGGTCACAATTTTGACTCAATCATCATCAAACTTGGTCAGGATGCTTTTCTAGGTTAAATTGCTCAGATAAGTTTGAACATGGGTCAACTCGGATGAAAAACTAGGTCACAGGAGCTAAAAATAAGAATGACTGTTAACACTCTAGTGGTCTCATTTTTGACACAATTGTCATCAAACTTGGTCAGGATTCTTGTCTAGGTAATTGCTTGGATAAGTTCGAACATTGGTCATCTCAGATGAAAAATTAGGTCACTGAAGCATAAAATAGAAAAACTTTGTTCACATTAGTGATCCCTTTTTTTTACTCAATTGTCATCAAACTTGGTCAGGATGCTTGTCTAGGTAATTGCTTGGATGAGATCAAACTTGGTCAGGATGCTTGTCTAGGTAATTGCTCGTATGAATTCGAACATGGATCATCTCGGATTAAAAACTAGGTCATAGGAGTTTAAAATAGAAAAACCTTGTTAAAACTCTAGTGGTCACCTTTTTGACTCAATTGTCATCAAACTTGGTCAGGATTCTTGTCTAGTATATTTCTTAGGTGAGTTTGAATGATATGGCTCATCTCTGATGAAAAACTAGGTCACATGAGCTAAAAATAGAAAAATATTGTTAACACTTGAGTGGCTACGGTTTTGATCCAAATATCCTGGAAATTGGTCTGAAGGTTTGTTTTGATGATTTCTAGATACAGTTTTTAATATGGGACACCTTAGGTAAAAAACTAGGTCACACTGCCCAAATATGGAAATGCCTTATTAACACTCTAGTGGTGAAATGTTTGACTCAATTATCATCAATCTTGATCAGGATGCATGTCTAGGTAATTGCTCAAATGAGTTCGAACAATTGGGTCATCTCGGATGAAATACTAGGTGACAGATGCTACAAATTGAAAAATCTTGTTAACACTCATGGTTACAGTTTTGATCCAAATATCTTGAAAATTGGTCACGTGCTAATATGGGTCATCTGGGGTCAAAACTAGGTCACACAATTAGTTTTTGACTTCAAATATGGAAAAACCTTGTTAACACTTTAGTGGTCACATTTTTTACTCAATTGGAGGGGCCTCCGTGGCCGAGTGGTTAAGGTCGCTGATTTGAGATCACAGGTCCCTCACCGCTGTAGGTTCAATCCTCACTGGGGTCGAAATCTTTCATGTGAGGAAGCCATCCAGCTGGCTTATGGAAGGTCGGTGGTTCTACCCAGGTGCCCGCTTGTGCCTGAAATAATGCCCAGAGGGGCACCTGGGGTCTTCCTCCACCAATAAAGCTGGAAAAAAATTGACGAAAAATCTGGGCCGGACGCTATAGGATGGCCCGACTATAGTGTACGGTCGCCCATATGGGCTTTCCGGCGGTGACCTTAAATAAACGAATTAAAAAAAATGACTCAATTGTCATCAAACTTGGCCAGGATGCTTGTCTTGGTAATTGCTGGGATAACTTTGAACATGGGTTATCTGGGATGAAAAACTAGGTCACAGGAGCTAAAAATAGAAAAATCTTGTTAATACTCTAGTGGCTACTGTTTTGATCCAAATATCCTGGAAATCTGAAAGTTTGTTTTGATGATTTCTAGGTCAAGTTCAAATATGGGTCACCTTGGGTCAAAAACTAGGTCACAATGCTCAAACATGGATAATCCTTGTTATCACTCTAGTGGTCACATTTTTGACTCACCTGTCATGAAACTTTGTCAGAATGCTTTTCTAGGTAATTGTTTGGATGAGTTTGATGGGTCAGGTGAGCGATCTAGGGCCATCTTGTAATTTGAAAGGTTCTATTTCCATGCACACAAAATACATATTTCCTGACAATTTTTAATCAACCCTATGAACTTTTGAGAAATCTAATACAAAATTATAATCTGAGGCGTACAAAAAGTATAATTGTAGAAAATATTTGTTATTATCCCCCGCCGATGGAATCGGGAGGGGGATATAGTTTTGGCGTTGTCCGTTCGTCCTTCCGTCCGTCCATCCGTCCGTCCGAATTTCGTTTCCGGAGTAGTTCTCTGCAACTAATGGCTGGAATTCAACGAAACTTTATGGGAATGTTGATCAGCATGTGAAGTTGTGCACCTGGGTATTTTCGTCTGGATAATTTTAGTATTTTTAGAGTTATTGCCCTTGACTTAGTAAAATCCGTCCGAATTTTGTTTCCGGAGTAGTTCTCTGCAACTAATGGCTGGAATTCAACGAAACTTTATGGGAATGTTGATCAGCATGTGAAGTTGTGCACCTGGGTATTTTCGTCTGGATATTTTAAGTATTTTTAGAGTTATTGCCCTTGACTTAGTAAAATTTTGCAATTTTCAACTTGTGTCGCATGTTACTCAAAAAGTATTTGACCTAGAGTCATGAAACTTTACAGGAATGTTGATCAGTATGTGTAGTTGTGCACCTGTGTATTTTAGTCTGGATATTTTTAGTATTTTTAGAGTTATTGCCCTTGACTTAGTAAAATTTTGCAATTTTCAATTTGTGTCGCATGTAACTCAAAAAGTATTTGACCTAGAGTCATGAAACTTTACAGGAATGTTGATCAGTATGTGTAGTTGTGCACCTGGGTATTTTCGTCTGGATATTTTTGTATTTTTAGAGTTATTGCCCTTGACTTAGTAAAATTTTGCAATTTTCAACTTGTGTCGCATGTAACTCAAAAAGTATTTGACCTAGAGTCATGATACTTTACAGGAATGTTGATCAGCATGTGTAGTTGTGCACCTGGGTATTTTCGTCTGGATTTATTTAGTATTTTTAGAGTTATTGCCCTTGACTTAGAAAATGTTTGCAATTTTCAACATGTCGCATGTAACTCAAAAAGGATTTGACATAGAGTCATTAAACCTTATTGGAAAGTTGCTCAGCATATTTAGTTTGTTCTTTGGGTTTCGCTTGTGGATTTATCCAGTATTTGTAGAGTTATTTCCCTTGACTTAGTAAAAACCATTTCATTATGATGTTATTTGATCCTTGAGTGCTTGAGTTAGAATCGACCAACTTTACAGGAATAATGATCAACATCACTAAATTACAGGAATAATGATTCACCTCACTGTGAAGCTATGAACTTTGGACTTTGCATGTGGATTTTTTTCAGTTTTGTTAGAGTTATTGCCCTTGAATTACAGTAGTATAGATTTGCAATTTTCAACTTGGGGTTTGCTTGGGGATTTATTCAGTATTTGTAAAGTTCTTGCCCTTTACTTAGTAAAAAGATTTTTAGTTTTCAAAAAATATTTGACCTTGAGTCATAAGATTGACAGAACAGTGGCGCAGTGGGGGCACCCGTATCCTATGGACACATTTCTAGTTTTTATTAAAGAAGAATTAAAATGATTTGTTACAATAACATTTAAAAATATTTGAAAATAGTGAGAATCCTTCTTGATGCCTTGAATATGGCAATGAAGTCTGGAGATTAAGATGTTTTTACATCTAGGTGAGCTATTGTGATCCCCCACCGTCCGTCGTCGTGCGTCGTCAGCAATTTCTTTAAACAACATCTCCTCAGAAACAAATGACTGCACAGCAACCAACCTTTACAGGAATGATCCTAGGGTGGTCCCCTGCCAAAGTTGATCAAATGGTTCCGGTCTGTTGCATAAGTAGGTCACAGGGCCAGAAAAGGAATTTCAAAAATGTAAAATTAAAAAATCTTGTCTGAAAGTACAAGGCCTAGAGCTTTGATATTTGGTATATGATATAACCTATAGGTCCTCTACCAAAATTGTTCAAATTTTAGCCCTGGGGTCAAAATTGGCCCCACTCCAGGGGGTCATAGATTTTCCTTATATGTATATAGTGAAAACTTAAAAATTCTTCTTGTTTGAAGGTACAAGGCTTCAAGTTCAAAGAATATTACAGTTTATGCCATGATTAATATATAAATAAAGCCTTATGTCTTCAGTTGTTGTGTTAATAATAACCAGTACTCGGCGGGGGATATAAATTCAACGAATTTGCTTGTTTTTTTACACTTAACTTTGTCCGGGACATAACTCTGACACTATAAGAGGTATGAATAAGAAACTTTTTTTGAGCTAGATCTCATTTCATAGATAAGCTGTGAAAAAGAATCATGAATTTGCCTTGCCTAATTTTGGAGTTATTGCCCTTTATTCATTATTTCTTTTTGAACTTTGTCCTGGACAGTACTGTGAAACTACAAGGAGTATAAATGAGAACAGTAACTCTGCCTTGACATTACTCTGAAACTACAAAAAATATACTTTTCTGTGTGGGGAGCATCACTCGGTTCACCTGGCTCTTGTTGTTAAGTAAAAACTTTAAAAACTTTAAAAATCCCAAAGAGCTAGAGCATAGATATTTAGCTTGTGAGTGTCTACCAAGTTTGCTAAGTTTGTTCAAATCAAAGTCCTTGGGTAAAAATTGGCCCCATCACGGACTCTGGGTCATTGATTTTCCTGATATGAACACATCTTTTGGAACTTTTGTTTTTCTTTAGCAAACACAACCAGTTATGTATTTACACATGCACTATTTCAGATACAAATATGATCAGTTTAAGACTTAGATTTTATATCAGCTTTGTTTATAGTTTACAATGTTACTTGTTCTTTGTCATGGAAAGTTTCTATATTCAGGTAAGCAATTTCAGGGCCATCATAGCCCTCTTGTTTTTTTGGTCTTGACTGAAGTTTTACCCTTAAATGAATTAAGGCACACCTTCTTTCACTGATCCTTTCAATTAGTTTCGAATTTGAGATTCTACTTGGCATAAAATAAAAAAATAATCTAATGTTATGAGGAATCTTTTGGTTATTTTCAAGTGAAAAAAGAATTGGGCTGCATGTTATTTATTATTAAGTTTTTAGCTCTAGGCTTTTTTTGAAGAAAAATACCTTTTCTTCAGTTTTGTTGCTTGTGACTTTGCGGTAGCCATTGCATTCCCATCCAAAAACTTTAATGTTGGTTATATTTTTTTATTTCTCGATGGATTGCCTTCATCCTTGGACACAACAATTGTTTGGACAAGACCTTCAAAGTGACATGTTTGATTTTACTTGATTTTGGCTCATAATAATTATTTGCCATAACCTTTTCACCTAAGGTTATATAATTGAACTTTGTTAAAATTGTCAACTTGCTTAGTTATATATGTATTTGATTCATTCTTGGATGACAAGAACACTTACGACAAAACTGATATGATGATTAATTATCCCTCCCACACACTTGGCAGTGGTTCTTGTTATAATTTACACTGAACATTTGACCTCATAATTAATTTGTCAATCATCATTGAAATAGACAATCTTTTGACATGTAGCTAAATTGGCTCATCTTGACTTTAGAATAGGAATATAATTAATTTCATTTTAGCTTGTATTCATATCTTATAAAACTTTTATGGCTAATTTTATTTCAGGAGACAAAAGATAAGCAAGAAAATAAACCAACTGATACTCTTAGTAGTAAAACATTTGGAGAGGCTAAAGAAAATAATGTTGCAAAACCTATCGGTATAGAAGATAGTTTTGATAAAACAGATGATGAAGAAGATGTTGTTGATGATGATGATGATGAAGAAGAAGAGGTCTATGATGATGCACCCTCAGAAATTGTACCCGATGAGGAAGAAGATAATGGGGAGGAAGAAGTTGAAACATGTGTTATTTGTATGGATGATATATCTAATCCAAAGACGCTCTCATGTGGACATGTGTTTTGTACAGAATGTATAGAGGCACAGTTTACGTATAAAGAAGCATGCCCAACATGTGGAAAGGTTTGCGGAATAATAACAGGTTAGTATTTTAGTGGTTGCTTGACTTGTAGCTATTTATTCCCTTGGATAACTAATTAATTCATTTGATATGATAAAAAATGTGTGGTAAGTTAGTGTAACATTGAATGCATCTGGTGTATATTCTTTAACCTTAGATCAGTTCATTATGAAGCAGATTCAGCAAATGTAGTACAGAAGGTGTATTTTACCACATATCCTCAATATCTGAAGTTTGGTTGTTGTTTAATGACTGAAAGTGGATTTCAGAGTAAAGGTCATGCAAACGTTTTCTAATTTATAGCAGTAATCACTGAAACAATCTCTTCAATATACTAATATCTTATTAGTGAAAAACATGGGTTGTTGGATTTTTTAATGATTTCTTCAAGTCAATGAAACATGTATGGAAAATGTCTGACAAATCTCTGTATTCCTTAGTTAGATGTAATCACCTCAATTTACAAATCTCTGTATTCCTTAGTTAGATGTAATCACCTCAATTTACAAATCTCTGTATTCCTTAGTTAGATGTAATCACCTCAATTTACAAATCTCTGTATTCCTTAGTTAGATGTAATCACCTCAATTTACAAATCTCTGTATTCCTTAGTTAGATGTAATCACCTCAATTTACAAATCTCTGTATTCCTTAGTTAGATGTAATCACCTCAATTTACAAATCTCTGTATTCCTTAGTTAGATGTAATCACCTCAATTTACAAATCTCTGTATTCCTTAGTTAGATGTAATCACCTCAATTTACAAATCTCTGTATTCCTTAGTTAGATGTAATCACCTCAATTTACAAATCTCTGTATTCCTTAGTTAGATGTAATCACCTCAATTTACAAATCTCTGTATTCCTTAGTTAGATGTAATCACCTCAATTTTATGTAACTTTTGGTTTTGATATTTTCAGTTAGTAATGAATCACTTTATCTGAGAAAATATTTTCTCACAATATCCACAAAAAAGGTTTGATCTTTTTTTGCGTTTAACGTTATTGTATATAAGGTATACTAATTAAATTGACAGAAGAATCCTGAAGTAATGATTCATTGTTGGGCTGATTTAATGATAACCAAATGAACTTTTTCAGGTGACCAACCATCAGGTGACATGGATGTGTTTGTTAATAACAGGGCTTCATGTGCTGGTTTTGAAGGATGTGGTAGGATAGAAATAACATACAAATTTCCTGATGGAACACAAGGGGTAATATACTTTATGAAGTAACAGTATTTTAATTTATGTTATTATTCCATAAGTAGATAATTTATCATAATGAAAAACAATTCCTACTGGTTACAAAATTTCAGAGTGCAGATCTGATGAATATTATTATACCTTTTGTGTATGTGAATTGTTTGTAATTAAATACAATTTTTAATGATTTTCATGATCTGTATTCACAGCCTACCCATCCACGTCCAAATGCAAGGTTCAAAGGTATCACAAGAAAAGCATACCTACCAAATAACAGAAGAGGGCAGGAAATCTGTGAAATGCTGCAGGTTGCCTTTGAGAGAAAACTGGTTTTCACAATTGGAAACTCCCGCACAACTGGAGCTGAAGGTGTAATCACTTGGAATGATATTCATCATAAAACAGATCAAAAACCAAACACACAGTATGTATCCAAAAAATTATCTACTAAAATGCAAGAAATTGTAATGTAGCTTAAAACACACCATACAGTATCCACATCATACAATATGCACACAAACTTTTATAAGTAAACTGAGTTATATCTGTTGTCCATCTGCCTTATCATACTTCTCTTCTTGCATGTACCTTCTGTTTGATATTAGAGGTGTCTGTTGCATAGTTGTTAAGACAATCTTGTCCTCACTGCTGTGGGTTCGAATCCCTCCAGGGTCTGGATTTCCTTCATGTGAGGAAACTTTCCAGCTAGCTAAGACTATGGTAGGATACTACCTCATCGCACACCTGCAAAATGCTCCCAATTGGACTGATATCCTGTCAACTCGAAGATAAAATGTTTTTATTTTAGGAAATCTTTAGATTACCAAAAATAATGTAGCGCACAAAAGTTGGATATATTTGTGAAAAACGTTTCAAGTTTTACTGTCTGATACAAGCCTGTAAACATGATAAATTTTGTTTCGAGTTCATCTCTGAAAAAAAATTATTTTGTTTTCAGGACTTAACTAGGCAGTAAAACTTTAAATGTCTTTTAACGACAAGTTATCAAGCCAAACTTTGGTGTGCTACACTATTTTGTTTTGATAGTCTAACGATTTCTAGAATAAAAATATATTTTAGCTTCATGTCGAGGTGACATTTACCAAAAAGAAAACAAAAAAACCCACAAAAACTTTGATTGGGGGAATTTTGCAGGTGCGCGAAGACATAGTATCCATTGTTACAGAACATTGAAAGTTCTGCCAAGATGCAGCTTTGTGTCTGAAATAACGCTGGAATGGGCACCTTTATAGGTCTTTCTTTACAGGTATAACTAGACAAAATAAAACATAACCCAGACAAATAAAAAAAGCTAAAAATATATAATCAAGCTAGGATCTTTCGTTTAAAGTTGATGAAATTCAGTCCTTGCCGAACATAATTTTGCCTACCATATTAGCACACATAGGTTATTTTTTACTTCTGTACCTTGTGCATGTGTATAATAAAGTGTAATAAAAAGGGTAAAATTGCAATGATATTGTTCACTATTTTTTTATATTTCACAGATTTGGTTATCCTGACCCTACATATCTAGACAGAGTGACTGACGAACTGAAAATTAAGGGCGTCACTGTTGATGATATACCAGCCCTTTCCGCCCATCGTTCAAGAAGACGATAGATTATGACATTGGATGAAATAGATTTGTTTTTTTATGACTCGTTGTTTATCTGTGATGCTTAACATAAGTTATGTAAATTTTAAAGGGACATTATGTCCATTAAAGTGTTAATGGTGTTTGGTAAAGGACAATGGCAAAATAATTTTAGGTTATGCCATAACTGCATTTGTGAAATTCATGTGTATAATCAATAATCAATGTGACTTACACAAAATTCCATAAATATCCATTGGAATATATAGGTAACATTAAATGTATAAAAAGAGTGGGGCAGTTTTTTAATATTTTAGAGAGTTGTTATATTTTATTCTTATCTTGTTATGATAAATTTTTGGTCAGTCCCCATTAACAGAGTCAATCTTTTTTAAATATACATGTATAGCCATTTCAGTTCTACTTATGATCCGAGGCTCAGCAAACGTATCCTAGGCTCAGCTTGACAATGAACAAGCAAACGTATTGTCACTTTAATAATTTAAATTCTAACATTAACTTTAATAAAAATATCATTTATTTGTGTATGATACAGAACATGTTTTTATAAAGTAGTATAATAACATTTGCCTTAAGTTCATGTAGATATGTTAATTAATGAAATTCTGGAGAATATGAATACATTGAGAGCTGTGAGACCCACATAGTTTGATGTCACCATCTCTGTTTGATTTGTATTTAAAACAAGTATTTTTATGTCTGTCAGGGCCCTTTATTCTTGTGCATATGTATAAGAGGGTAAGAAAAATCTGGAAACAAATGGATCATCATTACATGAAAATTGCAGACTCAGTTTAATTGAGTCTGTACATGAGGGATGATGAATAAGTGCAACATCCCTCACGCTCCCTAGCACCAGCTTGAGTGGTACTCAAATCGCAATACTTAATAGTGCTAGTATCAATGATCCCAAAACACTAGAAAAATATAACATTGAAGTGAAGTACAGGGCAACTTTTTACAGCTGCCACACAGCACTTATCACCTGCTGTTGTGCAGAATAAAAATTTGGTAACAAAGTCATCCCTCGGAATTTTTAAGCACCTTATTGATTTTGTATAAGTATTTTCAGAATAATTCTGTTTATTTATCCTAATTTATTTTGTATGATTAGAATTATAATTATGATTTTGTATATGTATCCCTTAAATATTTGTCTGTTACAAGAGAATGATTATTTCTATGACAGTAGTATGATATTTATGTCTCACAAAGGTATGCAGCTTAGAGTTGGCAATGATTTAAACCATTAAAAGCATTATTGAACATTTAAATTAAAGGCACCCCACTGTTTTTTTGTTGTTTTTTAGCTCACCTGTCACAAAGTGACAGGGTGAGCTTTTGTGATCGCTTTTCGTCCGGCGTCCGACCGTGCGGCGTCCGGCCGTCCGTAAACTTTTGCTTTAAATGACATCTCCTCATAAACCACTGAGCCAATTTCATTCAAACTTCACAGGAATGTTCCTTTGGTGGTCACCTTTAAAAATTGTTCAAAGAATTTAATTCCATGCAGAACTCTGGTTGCCATGGCAACCAAAAGAAAAAACTTTAAATATTTTCTTTTAAAAAACCATAAGAGCTAGAGCTTAGATATTTGGCATGAAACATCTTCTAGTGAGTGTCTACCAAGTTTGTTCAAATAAAAGCCCTGGGGTCAAAATTTGCCCCGCCCCTGGGGGTCATTGATTTTCCCTATATGCATATAGTAAAAACTTAAAAAATCTTCTTTTAAAGAACCGTAAGAGCTAGAGCTTAGATATTTGGCATGAAACATCTTCTAGTGAATGTCTACCAAGTTTGTTCAAATAAAAGCCCTGGGGTCAAAATTGGCCCCGACCCAGGGGGTCATTGATTTTCCCTATATGCATATAGTAAAAACTTAAAAAATCTTATTTAAAGGAACCCAAAGAGCTAGAGCTAAGATATTAAGCATGAAACATCTTCTAGTGAGTGTCTACCAAGTTTGTTCAAATTAAAGCCCTGGGGTCAAAATTGGCCCCGCCCCGGGGGTCATTGATTTTCCCTATATGCATATGGTAAAAACTTAAAAAATCTTCTTTTAAAGAACCATAAGAGCTAGAGCTTAGATATTTGGCATGAAACATCTTCTAGTGAGTGTCTACCAAGTTTGTTCAAATAAAAGCCCTGGGGTCAAAATTGACTCTGCCCCAGGGGGTCATAGATTTTCCCTATATGCATATAGTAAAAACTTAAAAAATCTTCTTTTAAAGAACCCAAAGAGCTAGAGCTAAGATATTTAGCATGAAACATCTTCTAATGAGTGTCTACCAAGTTTGTTCAAATAAAAGCTCTGGGGTTAAAATTGGCCCCGCCCCAGGGGGTCATTGATTTTCCCTTTATGCATATAGTAAAAACTTAAAAATCTTCTTTTAAAGAACTCAAAGAGCTCGAGCTAAGGTATTGAGCATGAAACATGTTCTAATGGGTGTCTACCAAGTATTTTCAAATAAAAGCCCTGGGGTCAAAACTGGCCCCGCCCGGGGGGGGGGGGGGGGGTCATTGATTTTCCTTATATGTGTATAGCAAAAACTTAAAAATTCTTTGGAAAAACCCAAATAGCTAGAGTTTAGATATTAAGCATGAAACATCTTTAAGTAAATATCTACAAAGTTTGTTAAAATAAACGCCCGGGGGTCAAGACTGGCCCTGCCCCAGGGGTGACATTGTTTTTAACTATATGTGTATAGTAAAAACTTTAAAAATCTTCTTTTAAAAAAGCCAATGAGCTAGAACTTAGATGTTTAGCATGAAACATCTTCTTATGGGTGTCTACCAAGTCTGTTCAAATAAACAAAAGCCCTTGGGTAAAAATTGGCCCGGGGGTGGGGGGCCTATATACAGGTGAGCGACCTCAGGGCCATCATGGCCCTCTTGTTTTTTACATTACGGGGCAGGAAATATTTTCGGTGGTTTGTATACATTTCTGATGAAGGTCAGAACCAGTAACTTGTGTGCAAGTTTTAACCATTTCCTCATCACATTTTACCAGAAAAATCATTTGTATGCAAATAAATAAAAAAAATATATAATGCCTTTCATTCAAACCAGGCATAAGATTGACTTACTATTGATCTTCTCTTAACTTCTGAGTATATTACTTTATTTTCTTTTGCAGATTTTCTAGTTTTTTAGTTGATAATTGTAAGAATATCAAATTTAATGTTTTCAGTTGGAATCATTTTATATTGTTCATTTGAATAAACATAAAAAGCTATTTTAAAAACACGTAGTTAAAAATAAAGTTTTTAATGAATAAATATGTTATAATGAATCAATATTTTATATTAAAAACTAAAAGTTATGGCTGCATGGAACATTTTGCTTTATAAATAGCTATCTATGTATTATTCAGACTTTGATTTTTGTATGCCTTTGATTGTAATTATATTTACTGTATTTAGATGAGTTGAATAATGTTTTACATTTATCCTAACAAATGTTAAAATATCTTTCTATAATAATAGGGTGAAATGTATTATATTATTAATTATGTTTTGAACATCTTATTAAAGATCCTGTATGTTGTAATTATATATATATTTCTAAAACAATTTTCAAACATTGAAGAATAGAATATGTAAACTTTGTGCTGCAATAATGGTCCACATTATTATGTAATCATTAAAATATATGCATTCATTTCTTTTAAGAAAAAAATCTAATTATATAATTATTATTATAATTTATTTCTAAATATTTCTTGAAATGTAAATTCGGTAATATCTTTACAAATAATGCTTTTTGGAACTTACAATATTGATAAATTAAATTTATGATAAAAAACCATTAAAAAATTGTGAAACAGGATTTTTAAAACGCACATTATGCCTCAAAAACGATTTAATTTTTTACTTCTTTAGACTAAGTAGACATGAGAAGTATACCTTTAGATAATGTATAACAAGCATTTTAGATGCTTGTTACCTGAGGAAAGTTGGTAAAATTATCTATTGTTTTGTCATGAAAGTAGCAAAATGTAAACAAGTAATATTTTGACTTTTATACAACACTGTAACTGCGCTAATTGCAAAAAAGGTAACAGAAATAACAGATTGTTATTTGGCCAATAAGCAACTTTTTAGCTCACCTGTCACAAAGTGACAGGGTGAGCTTTTGTGATCGCTTTTCGTCCGGCGTCCGTAAACTTTTACTTTAAATGACATCTCCTCATAAACCACTAGGCCAATTTCATCCAAACTTCACAGGAATGTTCCTTTGGTGGTCACCTTTAAAAATTGTTCAAAGAATTTAATTCCATGCAGAACTCTGGTTGCCATGGCAACCGAAAGAAAAACTTTAAATATCTTCTTTTAAAAAACCCTAAGAGCTAGAGCTTAGATATTTGGCATGAAACATCTTCTAGTGAGTGTCTACCAAGTTTGGACAAATAAAAGCCCTGGGGTCAAAATTGGCCCCGCCCCAGGGGGTCATTGATTTTCCTTATATGCATATAGTAAAAGCTTTAAAAATCTTCTTTTAAAGAACCCAAAGAGCTAGAGCTAAGATATTTAGCATGAAACATGTTCTAATGAGTGTCTACCAAGTTTGTTCAAATAAAAGCCCTGGGGTCAAAATTGGCCCCGCCCCAGGGGGTCATTGATTTTCCCTATATGCATATAGTAAAAACTTAAAAAATCTTCTTTTAAAGAACTCAAAGAGCTAGAGCTAAGATATTTAGCATCAAACATGTTCTAATAGGTGTCTACCAAGTTTGATCAAATAAAAGCCCTGGGGTCAAAATTGGCCCCGCCCCGGGGGTCATTGATTTTCCTTATATGTGTATAGCAAAAACTTAAAAAATCTTCTTTGAAAAAACCCAAATAGCTAGAGTTTAGATATTATGCATGAAACATCTTCTCGTGAGTGTCTACAAAGTTTGTTCAAATAAAAGACCTGGGGTCAAAATTGGCCCCGCCCTGGGGGTCATTGATTTTCCTTATATGTGTATAGCAAAAACTTAAAATCTTCTTTGAAAAAACCCAAATAGCTAGAGTTTAGATATTAAGCATGAAATATCTTCTAGTAAGTGTCTACAAAGTTTGTTCAAATAAAAGCCCTGGGGTCAAAACAGGCCCCGCCCCAGGGGTGTCATTGTTTTTAACTATATGTGTATAGTAAAAACTTAAAAAAATCTTCTTTTAAAAAGCCCAATGAGCTAGAGCTTAGATAATAAGCATGAAACATCTTCTTATGGGTGTTTACCAAGTTTGTTCAAATAAAAGCCCTGGGGTCAAAATTGGCCCCGCCCTGGGGGTCATTGATTTTCGTTATATGTGTATAGCAAAAACTTAAAAAATCTTCTTTGAAAAAACCCAAATAGCTAGAGTTTAGATATTAAGCATGAAATATCTTCTAGTAAGTGTCTACAAAGTTTGTTCAAATAAAAGCCCTGGGGTCAAAACTGGCCCCGCCCCAGGGGTGTCATTGTTTTTAACTATATGTGTATAGTAAAAACTTAAAAAAATCTTCTTTTAAAAAACCCAAATAGCTAGAGTTTAGATATTAAGCATGAAACATCTTCTAGTGAGTGTCTACAAAGTTTGTTCAAATAAAAGCGCTGGGGTCAAAATTGGACCCGCCCAGGGGGTCATTGATTTTCCTTATATGTGTATAGCAAAAACTTAAAATCTTCTTTGAAAAAACACAAATAGCTAGAGTTTAGATATTAAGCATGAAACATCTTCTAGTAAGTGTCTACAAAGTTTGTTCAAATAAAAGCCCTGGGGTCAAAACTGGCCCCGCCCCAGGGGTGTCATTGTTTTTAACTATATGTGTATAGTAAAAACTTAAAAAAATCTTCTTTTAAAAAGCCCAATGAGCTAGAGCTTAGATGTTTAGCATGAAACATCTTCTTATGGGTGCGGGGGTTGCTATATACAGGTGAGCGACCTCAGGGCCATCATGGCCCTCTTGTTTGAAAAAAGTGCTTTTGAGACAAAAAATTAAAAATATTTTGAGGCATAATTAAGGATGATCCTTTAATCATTGAACTGTCCATCACAATTTGTATAATGTGCAAGACCTATGTAAAAACGAAGACATTTCTTTACACTTGGGGGTCCAATGATGTGAAATAAACACCATAGAATATAACTTGTTTTTATTTTCATTTTAAGATAATACAGTTAACCCATTACTTCATATACACGCCTTTTAACGCCTTTTTCACCCCCCCCCCTTTTTGTTGTCTCAAATGGTAAAAAAATGCCTTATTTAGGCCCCCAACACTTGTTTTTGTTTGAGAAATGTTGTTAAAAAAAGTGACCACTTTTTCGGCGTGTCCCCCCAATCAAAAGATACATCAGGGGGTTGCCAGAAGGGGGATGTGCCCCCTTCTGTTTGGGGGGTTTGAAGGGGGGCGGAGTCCCCCTCATCGCCAAGAAAATTTTGGACTTGTGAGAGGCTATAAATGACATCAGATTGATCATAAGGTAACGTGTAACCAACGCTGAAAAGCATTTGACTCTATCTCAATCCATTGAGAAGTTGCAGCACTTTGAAATCAATTATGATGGAAAAAATCAACGCAAAATAGTGATTTTTGGCAATTTTGAGATGTCCCCTCGTTGCCATGGTAACAGAAAATTTAAGTCTGAGCATGTTGTTGCAAGGGCATTGGTCCAGTCAACATTTGTGCCAAGTTTGATTAGTGTTGAAGCAGTTTTATTGTATTATAGCAATTTGAACTTGTAACGAGAGACTTTTCAATGAAAACAGCCATTTTTCACAAAATGCTCATGAAGTAATGGGTTAAAATCTGGAAGCGTACTTAAAATTGCTTGAAAAGCAAATATAAAAATTCAGATTGAAAAATGTTTTTTTTTCTAAAGGTTTTGAAGTTGAAAATGGAAGAGTTATAGAGAGAAACATTTTCCATAAAAACTAACATGATCAACTGTAAATATGCTTTGAAGCATTCTTAGTTGATTTTCCATGCTGTTATTTAGTATTATAATGGTAAGCCCTTCTTTTCCGAGGTAACAAAACATTTTAACATCTCGTAACCAAATGATTGCATCATAATAATCACTTGGTATCTTACATTGCTAAGTGGTCGTCCGGTATCAATTTTGCAGTCAATTACTTCTTGGTATGCGTAATACAGCGGTGGCTAGAGCTGAAATGTAAATGGTGTCTTGTTAACCATTGACAATGTGAACGAAGTTTTTACTTGGGTTTTACGCCGCACTAACAGAAGAGATCATGAGAGGCGACTTTTCAGCTTTACTGGTACAGGAATACCTCAAGTGGCGTTCTGTGAATTATTTTACACAGAAGCAGGCACCCGAGAAGAACCACTGACGTTCCATTATCTTGATAACTGCTTCACATCAAATAAGTTTAGTATCTGGTAGGATGTGAACGCATAGTTGTGAGAGGTAATTGGTGAACAGTCAACGGCATTAACCACACTGCAACGGACCATTGTGCTTGCAATTATTTACTGGCTTAAATCCTATTAATAAGTACTTTTCATATTTCCAACTTAACACTACTTTTTACAAAGTGACTCTTGGATAAAAAATATTTAAGATCTTCACGTCTTTAAATTGTTTGCAATTTTAAACTAAAAGAAAAAAATGGGTATTCAATTTTTAAATGTGCTGTACTAAGTTGAAATACACCGATTCATCGCCTTTTAAGCATTCATGTGCTGAAATATTCGCCAGCTTTGTAACATTCACAGTTTATATAAAATACTGAGCCAAAATGAAAAATTGACAAAACCAGATTTTTAATATTATTTCTAAGGCAATGTCTTGAGCTGCTCGCTGTACACGGATTAATCAGCTGACAGAAAATACGTCTCACAGTTTGTCTGTAATGTTAGTGATGTCTGACTAACCTTTGAGCAAAAACAATTTAAGAAAATCAAAATTAAGAAAAATGTATATAGATTTTTAACGAAAGTAAAATATAATTCAAGTAACAATTTAATTGTTATAATTATGCCTGAATCATGGAATGACTAATTTCGCAGTTTTTAGTGCGGTGTGACCATATTAACTGCGCGATTAACGATGTAAGGATTTTGCATATTTTGACATATATTTTAATTTACGTGGATGGAAAGTGCAGTCTGTAAAAAGTAAATTACACACATGTACTTTCTTTATTGACTCGATAATTGTTTTACTTTTATTACATTTTCATAACTTTCATGAAAGTGATACATCCTGCTGTTATGTTACATACATTGTATATATAAAACCTTGCCTTGTATAACAGATATTGCAAACGTCTAAGTGATTCTGGATCATCCCTCGCATGTAGAAATTATCACTGACACGGTCCTGACCGCACTTTGCGAGACCAATATTAACTTTTAGTATCCTTTAACATTTACATGTAAACACAACTCGGTTTGATTCAATTTTCCACGTGAATAGGAAACAGAATAGGAAACAAAATCGTATAGAGATACTATCAAGTATCATAAGTTGAAGGTGTATGACATTTTACATTTATCTGGAAATAGAATTGATTAGGTCAGATGCAAAATTCTTGTTATATTGATAAAAGTTACTAAGACATAGAGGGTATTTGTTTAGTTCAGTGTAAGATCGGAATATATTTCACCGAGTGAGAATCCAAAAGGTATATTTCACGAGTGGCGCAGCTACGAGTGAAATTTGAACTTCTGGTGTTCACAAGATTAAATATATTTCGATCTTACACTAAACTAAACACATTTTCTTTTTATTAAAAGCAAAGAAACGTTTAAAAAAGACATTAAACCTAATACTGAATGAAAAGCGCGCCAAATAATAATACAACGTGACGTCATTTACGACGTCACGTCATTAAGTTGGTACCCAGTACTGTGCACGCTGGTATTTCACTGAAACAACGTAAGGGGCTTAAATTCAAAACAGTGAAATTATCAAAGTTGTAATTTCACTGTTTCAAACAGTGAAATTACCAGTTTTATATCACTGATATATTTCTATAAACCATCGAAAAACATGTAATAAATGACAATTGTCTCGAAAGAGGGATGTGGGGTGACAGGATCTTAACTTTGCTGTTCTGTGAAAATCATTATTTAAAGCAAACTCGAATTTGGTCGTGAATTAGTAAGCAAACGAACGCAACTTGAAAGCAAACGTTTTCAAACGGTGACATCGTATTTGATTTTGGCCTGCTATAGTCGTCTGATCGTGCCTTTCCTTAAATTTGGAAAAGTCCGAAGATTTTGGATTTTAATTAATGTAAATTATGAGCTACCAACAGCACAGGACCTTGTTTAGATTACACATATGTAAAAAAAAATCTGTATAAAGCGTTATCCCTCGGAAGCATTAATCACAAAAAATTATCATGAAAACTGCAGACTCGGTTTGATTGAGTCTGTACATGAAGGATAATAAAAAAGTGCAATATGCCTCACGCCCCCCCCCCCCTAGCACCCGCTTGAGTGGTACTGAATTTTCAACACTTAAAAGCGTTAGAACCAATTATCACGGACCAGAAAAATATAACAACACTGAAGTGTGAAGAGCGTACGCGGCAACTTTTTACAGTTGCCACCAGCATTTGATACTTGTGTTGTGATGTATAAAAACCTTGGTAAAGTGTGATCCTTCGGAAGCATAAATAACAAAAAAATTACATGAAAATTGCAGACTCGGTTTGATTGAGTCTGTACAAAAGGGATAATGAAAAGGTGCAACACCCTGGTTTGGCTGTATTTCGGTGGCAAAGGTATTTGACTTTCCGTTCCAGTAGGTTAAGAGTATAATGCTTTACAGTTTTTGTAATGAACACTAATATAATGGTTTAAGTGAGTATAAACATGCTCTAGGCAAAATATTCAATGTTTCGGAGATTATTTGTAAAATGGTTTTACAGGTTTATTACACTTCTACGAGTTGTTTTTACGCGCATATTTCAAGAACGCTATTTGTATGGTGCCCTATGCTTTGTATATAAAAGATTATTTTGAAATTGAATAAAAGGATTTATTTAATTTTACCCATGAAATATGGTGCTATATCAGTCAAATATATTTCATATTTTTTAAAAATAAATATGAAATATAAATATGAAAGTGGGCGGAGTCAAAACTCATATTTATCTTAAGGGACTTCTTTCGCCGTTTTGTTTGAAAAATCTGATAAATACCAAACAACTTTTTCTTGAATTTTGTTTTGAAAACTATCTAGCATGATAGAAAATGGTCTAACTAAGAAAATTAATCCGAACACCAATATCTTTAATTCAGTAATTAACGCTGTACAGACGTTTAAAGAGTTGTTTACGTGACGTCACAATGTAGCGCCAAATATCGCGTGTAAAACAAAACGCAATAATATATTACTGCGCGCTGTACAGTTGCAGTTGCGTAGCAAGCAATGGGGTTCGTAACCATTTTCCTTGATAATAAAATTAAATAAAAAGGTTATTTTTTCGTTTTTCGTGAAATATGGTATATATTTTCACTCAACATGACAAAATGCCATATATTTTCACTCGCCGTCCCGGCTCGTGAAAATATGTGGCATTTTATCATGTTCGTGAAAATATATTCCATATTTCACTCAAAGAAAAAATATCCTCTTAATATTTGTCACAATATGGACTACGATGGAACACAGGCTGATCACAACTACCATAAACAAGAGCTGTCCGTAAGACAGCGCGCTCGACTTTTTTATTGCTTGCCAATAAAAAAAGTTTTTGCAGTAAAAGGCAATACAAGAATCTCTGTATTTTTAAAGTGAACAATGGCCATGAGCATTAAGATATTTAGTGAAGAATTATTTTACTGAATTGTGTGATACCCTTGAACACTGCAGCAAAGTTTGAAATGTTTAAGTCAAAAGAGGGCTGGTAAGAAAGAAAAAAAAACTGAGTTGAGCCTATGTGTTCTTGTCCGTAGCTGGTCACTTGTCCACCAATCAAATAGGCGAGATAAAATGTGAAATATGCATATACTACTGATTTTAATTTCAAGTACAAAAAGAGAAAAATAACTAGTTGTTTGATACCCTTGAATATTACAGCAATGTTTATATGACATAATTTATGGTAAAGTGAACAAGTGGATAGGAATGAATTTTTTTAGATTTTTTAAGTTTTTTAGTGCTTGC